GGTCTGCGTTCGGTTGCAAAACTCTGTTTAAATTCCTTTTGGGGAAAATTCGGTCAACGGTCCAATTTACCTAACACCGAGATCGTGAAAAATTATCAGCGATTGGCAGCTTTGCTGACGAGTCCGGAACACGAAATAACCGATATATTACCCGTCAACGACGAGGTAATATACGTCTCGTGGAGATTGCGGAAAGAAGCGGTCGTAGCATCTCCGCAGACCAACGTCGTGATCGCGGCATTCACAATGGCGCTGCCGCGGCTGAAATTATACGAACATCTAGAATTATTGGATAGACGCATATTATGTTATGATACAGATTCATGTATATATATAAGTACAGGCGATCCGAACGAGTACGAACCACGTACTGGTAATTTTTTGGGGGATATGACCGACGAACTTGAGAGTTACGGCCGCGGGAGTTACATCAAATCGTTCGTGTCAGCTGGTCCGAAATTCTATGCGTACGTTGTTCGCACACCGGAAGATCGTCTGCATGAAATTTGTAAAGTAAAAGGGATAACGCTTAATTATAAGAACTCGCTAAGTATAAATTTCGATAGTATTAGGAAATTAATAATAGAAAATGAGAGAGAAAGGTACGGAGAAGAAGAAGAGCAAGAAACGTCACGGCCTAATATAAATCTATGTTTTAACGCAATCCGACGCACCGCGTTTCACGAGATTGTAACACGAAATGAAACAAAAACATGCGCACCGGTATTGGTAAAACGTAGATTTATCAATAATCGTTATTCTCTTCCGTATGGTTTTGTGAGTGAATAACGTTTTCTTCTTCTTCTTCTTATTCGAAACTGATTCTCTCTCTTATTTTTTAAGTTAGGAACATCAACGAGTTTTCCGCCACCAACGCCTATTATAGTTTAAGTATATAAGAAGAATATAAAAATTAATGTCTAAGTTTTGTAAATAAAATAAAATGCAAATATTTTTGTAAAGACTTTTTATTAATTTTATTACTAAGCGGTTTAATGTAAAATGTATATATGTTCATTGTTCATAATTGTATTTATAAGTAAAATATATTTAAATGTCAAATAAAATATTAAAACCTAATATTTTTATTTTCCTTTTCCCTTTTTTAAATTAAGTAACGAATAATAAATAAAAATGATTTTATATTTGAAAACAGAAAAAAAGATCTTTTGTCTCTTAATTCTCTCCCTACTATCACTTTCCTTTTTCGACATAGGTTTTTCTCCGAGCGACATTACGTATAAGCTTCTCGACGATGATACGATTCCGAGGACGCACGATCTTGCCGGCGAAATTATACGCTACTCGTGAATATTAATGCGAAGAAAGTTAAGCTAAATGTGCGTCGCGACGAGATCAGCTCTTTGTCCGTCACGGTGCTCTCGTAGGCTAACCTACGCGGGGGTACGCTGGCGCGAGCGTGCGCCCGCCGCGTGGGGCCCTCCGCCGCATGGATCAGCTTATTTTCCCCACTCCTTAAATTTTGTCGCGTATTCTCGTGATTATTAAACGTCGTTTTTCTGTTTGCTTTTGACGAGTCACGCACGGAAATCGCGTTATTCATTTCGCAAAATGGACGCGCGCTGGAAACATCCCTGGGGTGCGTTCCGAGTTGCGCATGAAACGCATAGACTGCATTACTGGTGCGTAACACTTTGAAATCGTTCCGTTTAGTCAATGCGCATGAAGCGCTTTAGTTATTCGGAACGATTTCCTATGCATTCCTAAGTTCAAGATGGACGCTATACAAAACGTCAATAAACGATTTCCAGTAATTGTAATTTCTTCTTTAATACTTTTAAAGAAAAATGATGAAAGTTCCGATAATAGTTCCGAATCGAGCGATAGTGAAAATGAAGTCGAAGACATATTTCTAAGTGATATGCAGACGTTATTTTTTCTATTAATGGTAGATAAATCACGTGGAAAACAAATTGGAGTTGAAAAAATTACAGATTACGTCGATCGCGTGATTCCTAATTACAACAAAGTTACATTTAAAGAACATTTTAGGTAAATATTTTAATATAAATATCATTAAGTTACAAAATTGTAATGTTATTCATCTGGTTTTATTAAAATCATGATCTTATATTCTAGACTATATCCACCTACATTTGAGATAGTTTTATCACTGATTGGACCAGCATTAAATGCTACAGGAACCACAATTGGTAGAAAACCAATTCCAGCGGAAAAGCAATTGTATATTGCTCTTTGGTTTATGGCTACTCCTGATTCGTATAGGTTTGTATTATATCATATTTAATGCATCTTCATCTATGTTGTGTATCTTCATAAAATTCTTTGGAGTAGTATATTATATTATATTATATTATAATATATTACATTATATTTTATTATATTCTTATTATGTTTCTATCCTATTACATTCTATTATCCTATTATATTATATTTTTATATTCTAAATAAATAGAATATAATAATCTATATACTTACTTTTCTGGACTGTTACAGATCAGTTTGTGTCAAATTCGGAGTTGGTAAAGCATCTGCTTTTAGGGCTGTAAGACGTGTTACTTACGCACTTCATTGTATCGCACCTCGATTTATACAGTGGCCTAAAGAAGATGTTGCTGTCAATGACATGGAATGTTTCGAAAAGACTTGTGGTTTTCTAAATGTCATCGGTGCCATAGATGGAACACACATTAAAATCCGAGCTCCGCCAATTGATTCAGTTTCTTATATAAACCGGAAAGGTTTTCCATCCTTAAATGTCCAACTAGTATGTGATTCACGTGGCCTCTTTACGCACTGCTATGCTGGAGAAGTAGGATCAGTTCACGATGCTCGAGTTTTTCGAAACTCCCCAGTAGCACGTTTTCTAGAGATGCCTAATGTATATTTTCCTAATAACTCTCATCTAATCGGAGATGCTGCGTATGCAATTCATCCGCACCTCTTGGTTCCGTTCCGAGACAATGGTCATTTGTCAAACCGACAAAAAAATTTTAATTTTTGTTTATCGTCGACAAGAATGCAAATTGAACGTGCGATTGGACAATTAAAAATACGTTTCAGGATACTTTTAGATTGTCTACCTTTGACGGATGTCAAAAAAATTCCAGAGTTCATAATAGCGTGTTGTGTGTTACACAATATTTGCATCTTACAAAATGATGGAATGACTGTTGGCGTCCAACAGTCATTACATCATGAATTACAGGCACCTATTTGTAATGATAATACTGATACGGGAGATATTAAAAGAATAAGTATAATGAATGCGTTGCAAATGAAGCTCGTCAATAACTAATAATGAACACAAAGATATAATAGATATAATATATAATAGATATAAGATATAGTAGATATAATATAATGATCAATAATGAACATTTTAAAAACGTTTTTTTTAAAACAAAAAATTGTTGAAATATTTTTAATTAATAAACAGATATTGATTACAGTTTAATTTTTAGGTTTATTCATATTATACTATTCTTACATTGTATTTCAGTCTTATAGTAGGTTTATTCGCGTTGCTTGAAATTCACAAAATTTTTTGCAAACTTAACAAGAGATAAATTTATAATCAAGAGTTGAAACGAGAGAAGCAAAGGTACTGAGTGCAAAAATACTAGCAATGCGAATAGACCTATTGTATTACATTTGTACCTACTTCCACATTTTAAAAATATACTTTCAAAAAAATAAACATTTCTTTTTTAATTAATCGATGGACGAACCTTATTATTATTCATAAGCGGAATAACATATTATTCATAAATAAAATAACATAAAGTTACGTAACTTTGAGGTTTAACGTCTTAAAACTCGTAATTAAAATAAAATAAATTATAAAATATATAAAACCGAGTATAAAACAAATAACTTTCAAGGCTTCAATTAGTAATGCTCAACTTTAAACTTAGCTTATATTTTATTAAGAAATTGTTGTAATGTTGATATTAATGATTTCTGCATTTCCATTTGTTCCTTATGTTTCCTATTTTGTTCTTTCTTGTTTTCTTCGCGTCTTTTTTCTTTATTTGCCTCCCGTTTTTTAATTTCTTCTTTTCTTTCTTCTTTTTCTGCCGTAATATTGGCTAAGAACTCTTCCATAACGTTTTCGATTCGTTTTCTCTTTTTTGGCGGCTCTGTAATGAATAATGCGAAAACAATTATTATATTGATAAATAATAACCGAATTAAATTAATTCCCTTCATCTTGCTTACACATTTTGTACTTAAGTTACAAATGTATACTATAACTACATTCACGGCCCGATTTACGTCAAAGTTATAACATCAGATGTTATAACTTCAATATAAATTGAGCCGTTTAAATGTAGTATATATATCTATAAAACAAACTAGATAGCAAATATTGATTGAAACAAAATATAAAAGAGGCGTTTAAGTTTCTTTTCTATTTCGTTGCTCCAATTTTTACCTCCTAGAAATTTTGTTAACGTTTTTGTTATTCTTGCCTTACGTTCCACTTACGCTTTTTACTTTCGTTAGGGATTACATAAGATCACAACTAAATATTATTTAGAATTGTTGTAATCCATTAATATACAAGTACAAAAACTTACCTTTTGATTCAAGGAATGAAATAGTTGATAACAATGATCCTTCCTCATTTGGGTTTGATGGACCTTCGCTTGTAGCAATTGCAGGAGGTTTGATGGACGCTTTGTCCCCAAATAATGAATCCATGATCTAATACATAATAGGGATAATTAAATAGCGTAATAATAATCTAAAAAAATATATCTTGGAGAGGGTTCCGATAGTGCACATCGCTAATTGATCAATTTCAAATAAAATATTCTCATTGATAAAGTAGTGAAAAATTATTAAGCACTGACTAATGTAAGTGGATTTATGTTCTCAGCATGTGCGTTACCAGGATCTTCTCTCTTGTTGCATAACTGTAAATATCGCAACATTTATATTATATACATACATATGTATGTATATATGTGTGTGTTTATATATACGTGTGTGTGTATGTGTATGATAAAACATACCGAAAAAAATGCCCACGTATTTCTATGGTTGCCACTTTTCTTATTCAAATCAATAATATTCTTGTATGTCCGCTTTAAGCCGGACATTTTGGACGAACACTGAAGTGCTGTTATGTTATAAGCTGCGTTAGTTTCCTTCATTTGAGCTGCAACTTCAGCCCAAATTTTGTTGCTGCGCTTGAACCCATTTGAAAATTCTTCCTCTCTTTCTCTATATAATTCGATTAACAGTAATACTGTTTTGTCCGGCCATACAAATGTTTTTGACTGATCTAAAAATTAAGCAAACACAAATTTTGGAGATCGATAAATATTAGTTTTTATATAAAATTAATAACTTTAAGTAATAACTAATGACTATAACTAATAACTATTTAACTAATAATTTTAACTAATAACTTTTTTAACTTTTATATAAAATTAAAGAATTTAATAGACATATGAATATTTATACAAAAATTAAGTTTGCATCTTATCCTACCAGCATTGTTTCGATCAATAGCATTTTCATCATGTGTTGAATCAATAGGTTTTATTGGCTCGTTATTACTGCTTTCATTTTGTTCCTTTGCAATAAGGTTTAGCAAAAACCTAGAGTCTATAAAAAACGACACAAAATGAATATAATTAATTATTTAACCTATACATTAAATAAATCAAGGTAAAATAATGCCATTAATTTTACCTTGGCTTGCTTTCGCTATATCCTCTTCATTTAAAAATAAAGTTAACACTTCATTTTTATCCTCTAACAAGACCGGAAATTCATGCAATTGCTGTAATCGCTGGTCCATCGCAAATCGCAAATATTCGTCCGTTCACTGTGTGGTTGTCCGTTACTCGTTCCTGCTCGTTCCGAATTACAAATCATGCGCATAGACCGCATGAACGCATCAGGCGCATCAACTGCCTCAAATCGAAATAGAAGCAGTCAATGCGCTGGGAAGAGTGCTAAGAATACAGTATGGATAGTACAACCTAGAGAATTCTCGGCACTACCAAAGCGCTTCTGATGCGCGCATTAGTTAAATCAGAACGACTTTCTGTGCAGTCTATGCGCTTCATGCGTAACTCGGAACGCACCCCTGGACATCGATCGTATGCGGGCCGACCGATTGCGGGAAAACGATTTTCGTAAAGAGTTTTCTCCGACATTTGTCCCTCATGTCTGACGTGCGTTTCGAGAGAATTTTGTTTTATTACGCGGAATGGCAAGAAGTCTATCGTCAGTTAAAATACGACACGCGTGAAAAAGTGGACGAAGAACAGATCTAGGGAAGCGACAGCAGTAAAGCAGCGATAAAGAAAAATATAATTGAATTTCGCGAAGGTTTACCTCGTTTGGAAGATTACTCGAACGATCGGCTTTCTCCGAAATTAGTGTCTAGTAATAATCGACGATCTCATGAGAGAATCGTCGTCGAGCGACGCAACCGTGGATCTTTTTACCAAGAGCAGTCATCACAAGAATCTCAGTGTTATTCTTATCTCGCAGAATCTCTTCCATCAAGGCCGTGGCCAACGCGAATTACATAGTCGTTTTCAAAAATCCACGTGATCGCGCTCAAATTCGTCATTTAGCGCGTCAAGTCTATCCCGACGATCTGAAATTCCTAGAAGAGGCATACTACGACGCTACGTCGAGACCTCACGGGTATTTATTGCTCGATCTGAAACAATCAACTCCGGACGAATATCGATTTCGTACGTGCATTTTTCCCGAAGATGCGACTCATTACGCTTACGTACCCCGTAGGTCATTTTCGAACGGATTCGTATAAAAGACGGGTACGAGTGACAGTGTGAGTCAGTCGTATGCTTTTCTCGCGATGAAGGTGAGTGACGAGAAATCACACAGTGCGACGAAAATCGCCACGCATTCGATCGGTAAAAGAAACGCCTGTCTTCTCGCAGCCCTCTATCATCTGAACAAAAATCAACGTACGACCTTCGTACGTGGCGCGGACGAAAAACTTATTCATTGTATTTGCGAATGTGTTTTTAATACACTCGAAGGAAACGTCTCGCTTGAACGATCCGAAAAAAAACGGTTAAGTAAATACAAAACGCCGCTGCGTCGCATCGCTGTAAAACGCGGAAATTGGAAGGATAAAAGAAAGCTGCTGGTGCAGCGAGGCGGATTTTTACCTTATATTATCGGACCTATATTATCGTCCTTATTATCGCTAATTATCGAAGGAACGAAATAGTAGGGATAAAACGTTATGAAGAGGGCCAAAAAGATGATTTTAATTTCGACGGAAAATCTCGAGAGAATGCAGCATCAGCTACGTCAGAATCCGACATCATTCACAGGCGGAGAATCGAAGGAAATCGTAGTATCGCAAAATTCGGATAACGCCACGAGCACTAATAATACAACGCAAACTCCCGGAACTCATCTAACACGACTCGATGCGGAAATGAGCCGTATTCTTAATTCCGACTGGCCGCGTGACGAAAGCGAGAGATGGAAAATGTACAAAGAGGCGTTATGGCGATACCTGCGATTTGTCCAAGAAACGCGAAGGCAGAAAGACGCACGCAACGAAAACGAAAATGCAGAAGACAACGCTACACGAGATGCTTCCGATGATAACGAGACGACGAACGATGGCGTTTTTCAAGATCTCACGCAAACATCCGATATACCAGCGTCATCACGTTCCACCCCTAATGCCAATATTATTAAGAAAAATTTCGAAATTTCGAGTGAGCATAATCGCGGGATGAAAAGCATTGAAGAAA